TCCTACCGGGTGAATATAGTAAACCATGCTATTTGCCCGGATGAATATATATATATATATGATATTTTTATTCATTGGGATAAACCCCTTGAGAACCATCTCGGTTTGAAGGGGGTCCCTTAAAGTATATAAATAATTAAGTAAACCATGCTATTTCCAAAATAGCCAAATACATAGCTATTTTCGCCCTGGTGCAAATAGACACCCCAATATTTTAACGCACATTGAACCTCTGTCAAAATGTATTTGTCTTAAAATGTGCAGCCATGACAGAGATATGCGCTGTCTGAGTGCTTTCTAGTACCTCCACATGTTTGAAATGCTGAATTAGATCTAACATCGAGTCAAAGAGTCTGTGCACAGAGGTTTTGCTCTTCACTCGTGTCGGCTGCTGCTGGTGTTCATGTCTCTGAGGAGTCTAGCCTGAGTAAAAGCCTTGAAGCACCATGACGCTGACGGATACATTATTAACTCATGATCATCCGACGAAGATGATTGGTGTTCTGGAATGTGCCCAAGCAGAGAGACACAAAGGTTTTTACGGTACAGAAACCATCTGAACTCCAGCGTGATATCACACATTTACAGCTTACTCCAGCTCTTCACATGCTCTCTTTTGTCAAGCTGATAAACGAATAAAGAGACTATCTTCCCTTCAAAGCTCAAAAATGACTGAGATAACACAGAGCTATACACTCACGCCAAACAGTGTCTGCCCTATTCTGTAGCTCCATTTACTCTCCTTTCATCTGGCAAATTCAACCCCTCCACCCTCAAAGAGAATAATGAGCCACTGAGTCAGCGTTTAAAAATCTTTATTCCTTCATTAGATATTGAAACCGTTGCAATTAAAAAAATTAGATAGTGAAGAGCTGTGAAGTTGTTCTTTATCACAGCATTGATAGACGACGTATCGAGCTATAAGAAAGTTGAATGAAGTTTAGGATTTCAATGTAATCATTCTGGTAATGAGACAAACAAATAGCTGTCTATTTGAGTATTTTACTTCTTGCTGTTTAGCTGACTTACATTGCATTTAGGAGGTTCTTAACTTATTCTTATTCTTCTAAACATATTTTAAACTACACATTTCAATATCATATTTTTAAATTCGACTTTGACACGTACTGTGTTCTTTTTTTTCAAACGGCATTTGTTTTGAGTTGAGTGATTTCATATTTGGGCATTACCTTGAAACAACGTTCTACTTTCTACTCAAACAGGAACAAGAGGATACTCCAACAGCATCTCTTTTGAACCTGGAGCCCACTGAAACTTTAATGGAGGTATAACACTTGTTTTTTTGCACATTTCCCGTACTACTAGTGTTAACAGTAGGATATAGTATATAGATTTCTTTAGACTGACAAGGCTTTCAGGCAGTGCTGACTGTTATTGACCGCAGCTCTGATCCCTCGTGGATTGCAGGTCAGTCCGGCGACACAGAGGAGGATCAGGGCCTCGCTGTCTGATCTGGACAATGAAGAGGCGATAGAAAACCTCTCCGTGCGCCAGCTCAAAGAGATTCTCGCCAGGAACTTTGTCAATTACTCCGGCTGCTGCGAGAAGTGGGAGCTGCTGGAGCGAGTGCATCGACTCTACAGAGAAAATGAGCATAACAGGAAATCCAGTAAGCATTTTAATGTTCCTCTTTTTGCATCTAAATAAAACATTGTGACCTTCAATGTTTTGTATGGTAAAAACAATACAGAACACATTTTATCTCTTTCTTTCAGTGGAAAATGTGAGCATAACACCTAACACATGTGCAGGTAAATATCGTTTTTTGATTATCATATTTCCATTGTTTAGACCAGGGGTTTTCAAAGTGTGGGAAGGTGAGCCTCCCCTCAGAGAACATAAGAACACCGCGCCCCCCCTCCCAATTATCATTGCTGTTATTATTATTATTGTTGTTGTTGCTATAATGCACGGGTATTCAATTGCATTTCAAAGAGGTCCAGTAAGAGAAAATGTAATTTTAAATGCTCTGTTTTCGCTGTCTACCTTCCGCCATTTGAAATTACTCCGACTGTTTCTCTCCTCTTGTCTCGTCTCTGTGTGTGTTTAAATCTATCGTGCTGACTGCACCGATTTGATTGGCTGAGTAGCGTCACCTCCTTAAAACATTAAACAATAACTTTTTTAAACCTTTTTATTTTTATGTTTTAAACATATTGTATAAAACTCGCCCGCTACTTTGACTATTCCTTGCACCCCTCTAGAATAAGCCCGAATGGTCTCAACCATATTGCATCAGTAACGTGCACTTGTTATTATAACAAGATCGCAAGGACGCTGGTAGCGATCGGAAAATTGAGTGTTGTTCAGTTTGTGTGTTGTGGAACATGCGTGTGCGCGCATGAAAATATACCACACACCCAATTACAATTGCATGTTCAATTCACTACCCTGGAAGTTAATACAGTTGTTAAAGTTGGAACAGCCTGTGGACAGCCGTTCTTCCTTGTATGTCAGTCGCCGACACCTTCTTACAGAGGACAGGCACATCTAGCTGCAGCACGACCCGTATATTTCCGCACGCTGTGTTCTCAAGACATATTTTTTCAACATGGTGGATAAATCCTTATATGCTCCCGGCAACACACTGAACGTCAACTTTGCCTCCTTATTACACTCACCCCTACTTTAGTGGGAACAATGAGTTGGTCTT